TAGACCTGGTTTAGACCTGGTTTTAGACCTGGTTTAGACCTGGTTTAGACCTGGTTTAGACCTGGTTTAGACCTAGTTTAGACCTGTTGTTAGACCTAGTTTAGACCTGGTTTAGACCTAGTTTAGACCTGGTTTAGACCTGGTTTAGTCCTGGTTTAGACCTGTTGTTAGACCTAGTTTAGACCTGGTTTAGACCTGGTTTAGACCTGGTTTAGACCTGGTCCATGAGGCTGCCTGGCCCAGCCTGGAGTTGGGAACCGCCTGGTCTAAAATGTGGGTAAGATGAGACGACATACACAAATTTACACTGCTTAAAATGTTTTTATTAATGCCAAATAAAATATCCAGCACAAATTATGTATGATATATTTACATTCATCGTTTGTATATTTTACTTTACACTCATATTGAGTTTGTGTGACTGCAGTTTATCATCCCACCGCCTGCTCCCGCGTTGTGTAGTCCCACTCCTGCCCGCGGCCACTATGAGCTTTCAGAATGTTTTACGTCAGGTTCTGAGGAGTCCAGGGCTTTACAAGCAACCAGAAAGTTACATAGTGCATCTTTAAAACACACATTAACACGCGAGATTGAAGAAAGGGGCAAACTTCCAGCATGAGTTGGTTTGTTGTCGTTAGCTTTATCTTCATGGCAAAACTCTGCTCTGGTCTTTGAGAGTTGCGAAAAGTGCTTATCAACTAATAGCACTGAATAATAACGATGTTTGGGAAGCATCAGATAAGTGAGGAATAACTTAGAACCACTGCAAACCATTTAAAATGAACTAGATTTGCTTTCCACGTTTAAAAGACAGACAAAAACAGGTACTGTGCCTTTAATTTAAATATTTGAGGGGCCAGTCAAGCAGAAGTAAACATCAAGGCCAAAAATTCAAGTTAATGCATCTGATATAAAAATGTATTGAACAGATACATATGTACTCTAGTTTATGAAACTGTTTACCTTTTTTTCTGTACCATTTTTGGTTCTAAAGTTACATACGTTTTAAACAAACCATGTATGAAACAAAGATCTGAAAATCATGTAAATAAATGGATGTATTTCATCATATCTTGTGTTATTCCATCTTTGAACTGTTGATGAAGATACATGATTTAAAAAAATATATATTATTTAACTATTTAAAATGATAAAAAATTTGCTTGGAAGGACTGACATATTTTATAGAAATAGTTTCCTTTCATTTTGAAGTAATATTAAAGTATTCGGAAGAAAAAAGCGACAAATTATGTAAAATCCTGCACCTTCTACTTGTTTGCACAATTTTCCCTCTGTTACTTTTCCCTCCGTTACCATGACCTTTCTTCATAAAAAATCTCATTACTCAAAAAGTAAGAGGTTTTTCAACCTAATCTTGAACCATATGGTAGAAAACTATATGAAGCAAATATTCAAACCAGTTTGTTAAGGATATGTAAGTGAGAACCAAGAGTTATCACTGTTTGGATTTATTGCCCAAAAAGTGCTGCATATTTCATTCCCTCCGTTACCGACATGAGTTTTTAAATTTTTTTGTCAACAACTTGAAAGAATATCACAGGTTTAACTTGACCCTGTTGGAGTGTAACTCTTTCCTACATTCTGATACTTTACTTATTTCAATAGTTCCTCTAGTTTCTGAATAAGAGACATTTGAATGTAAAAAATCTGCCCCTGTTTCCCTCCGTTACCACTTGACCAGACCCTTGATACATTCACATACGTGGACTCTGGAGGAAAGACGGGTGAAGTGTCTTGCCGAAGAACACAACACCAGTAAACACTACAGTCACTGCCGTCCCACCACAGCACCTGTATTCCCGGCAGTGCCCCATCTGGGTACTAACCACCAGACCCAGTCCTGATCAGCTCCTCGGATCAGACAAGATTAGGTCTTTAGTCAAAGTCTGGGAATGGCAAACCAAAACAAAAGAACCATGAACAATGGATCACAGCTGCTCCAAGTGAGAGTCAAACTTGCACGTACTTTTACTCACAATAATGAAAATGCCAGCACACATGCCAACAAACAAAAAACTATAAATCATTTTTAAGAAAAGTAAAAGTACTACACATTTTAAACGACCTGTACATGAGTTTAACCACGAGTGAAGCACATGTTTGAGTGTGAACTGCAGCCCCGCCCACTTATTAATTAATTATATATGTATGTATGTATGTATATATATATTTATTTATTTATTTATCTGCACTATCAGCCCCTCCAACCACCACCAACACTCAAGCACACACCATGCCTCCCCTGTCTTGCCTAAGGACACAACCACAGTTTTTATGACTGGCGTCTCACTGTGGCTCCTGATTTTCCCAGTGTCTCCCATCCAAGTACTAACCAGGCCCAGACCTGCTGAGCCTCTGAGATCTGACGGGATCAGGTTTTGACAATAGTTGGTATGGCCACAACGTTGATATTGCATGAACTGTCTGGGATAGTGTCATTTCCCATAAGTCTCAGCTAACAATGTTATGAGGGACCAGTAACTTCAAACCAGCACAATTAAAATAAAGTAAATGCACATTTAGAAGTTATGTCTTTCAGTTCATTGCATTCACAATATCAATTATATTAATAAACTGCATAATATAGAGGCCATGTATCTGAACTATTTTCCGCACGATACGGCGAGCTCATAAGCCACCAACCCCACCGAAAAACCACTGCGCGCCCCACAATCCAGAACGCCAAATACACGAATCCACTGTCCCAGCACGACTTCAGTAAACTACAAAACCGCACCTCCCGCAGAACACGCAAACACACACGGACACACTCATCACTCCACGCCGACGAGGAATGGAATAAAAACATTTTAAGCATTTGATCTTAACCTTACCGTATTTTCTGGGCTATTAGACGCGCTCTTAAGCCTCTAACCCCATCAAAAAATGACCGCGCGCCCCACAATCCAGAGCGCCCCATACACGAATCCACTCAGTGTCCCAGAACGACTTCAGTAAACTACAAAGCCGCAAACACTCGTCACTCCACGCCGACAAGGAACGGAACGGAGGAACGAACCGAAAAAGCGAGTGCAATGTGCCGCTTTCTAGACACGACTGAACAACTGAGTCACTGCGAACACGCCGACAATCCGTTGGATCCCAGACAGCACCTCCCTACACGCCACAACTGAACAAAGCCCAGAGTCACCGTGAACGAACAAACAAACAAAACCACTCACACATCACACTGTTGTGTTTCATTTAAAGTCCAGTGCGGTTTATTTGTGAAAAAAGTTTGAAAATAAACCATTCAATGACAGTGCGTCTAATAATCCAGAGCGACTAATAGTGAGGAAAATATGGTACATAAATGGACATAAGTAGTTAACCTGCTCGCTGCCGAGTTCCAGACAGGAAGTGAGTATGGGTGCACTTATGGCTCCATCGACTTCAAATCACTTTCTATTAAAATAACACTTCTTCTCTACCCATAACTGCTGCTGTCATGTACGTCATTTAGGTCTTAAATGGTTGATTTAAACCCACTACATGATCCTGGTGTTTTTGTGGCGGAAAACTAAGTTCGTATTCGACACTCATTTTCCCTACGTCATCATGCAGGATGTGACGTAGGATAATGCTGGAAATATGTTTTGGAAAGCCGCAACTCTCTAACCAGGCTGGCGCCACCTAGTGTCTCTGCTCAGTTTAATTTCTCCCCAGGGACTAGGTCAGGAATCAGAATACACTAGATCAAGGGTGTTAAACATACGGCCCGGGGCTGGATCTGGCCATCCAAGACCTTTGATCTGGCCTCGGCTGATTTTGTACTAAAATATTTTTTATTATATTTCCTATTTAAATCTTGTTAATTTTCTGTGGTGTTTATCACAGCAGCGTCTCCAGTGTCTCTGTACGTGGCCCCTCCCACCAGAGCAGCACAAATGAAGACTTGTCTCTTTCTAAACGCTCTTAAAGGACGATCGTTTTGACTGTTGACCGTGACACCCTCATCAGAAAAATGTCTAAAATGAGAAAAGTGGAGCCGAGTGCAGGATTTTTACAAGAAAAATTGACTTATTCCTATTTGCAAACAAGTTCATGTTAAAACATTGTGTTGAAATTACATTTTTCTTAAAGTTTCAGGTTGTTCATAATATTATAATATTTTGTAAAAGAGTTCATCAATTAAAAAAAAAAATTCTGTAATAGATTTGTGTTTCTCAGCACAAATATTTGAATTTATTGTTATTTTTGGGGTTTATATGACATGAGTTTTCTGATCCGGCCCCTTTGGGATCAAAGTCGGTTGGATACGACCCCCGGACTAAAATGAGTTTGACACCCCTGTTCTAGATGGTTCGCAAAAACCCCAGAAGTGTGAGTTCAGGCACCAACCAATCAGCAAAGAGTCATACATTCTGTGTTGGCAACGATTCCTGAGATTGAGGATTTAAAGAAGGAACAAAGAGAATGTTTGGTGAATTTTATCAAGGGGAAAGACGTTATGTCCTTCTTCCTACGGGATTTGGCGCATTACAAACGTCACGACCAAATAGCAGCGATTGGTTAAATAAAAAAAGTACCCGCCTACAGTCACAGTGAACGAATCCTAATGCTGCGAGGTCTGACGGTTTCCACGAAGTGAAACCGTCTGATGAATCTGCCTAACAACTCTCAGCTTTACAAGGGGAAAAAAAGCACGTTTCTACATTTTATGGTTGTAAAGTTACGCGCAGTTATACAAAACATATTTCCAGGTATCGTATCGTGTGGGTTATTTATATTTATATTTTTTGCAGCGTCCTGTATGTTTCCCACCAGGATCCTTCATATGTGAAAAAGTCTAAGTCAAAACACACACATTTTCCCTCGAACATGATCTCAGCGCAGCCCAAGGCCAGTCACGCACACACGTCGTAAATACAGCGCGAGGGGTGACGTGAGCGGACACGGGGACACGCTCACGCTCACGCCGCCGCGACGCGAACCGGACGCAAACCCCGGGCGCTAAGGCATAAATAACAAGCTCTTACTTCATCTCCAGCAGCTCCTCCAGGTGCTTCCTCCGCTCTGCCCTCAGCGCCGTCAGGTGGTTCTCCTTCTCGGCCAATGAGAGCTGAGTCGACGACAGCTTGGCTTTCATCACCTCCAGTTCCTGTTTGACCTTCTCCATGGCGACCAGCAAGTCCTCCACCTTCAAAACACAGAGGCGCATTGTGGGACGCGGCGATAAATCCTATACGTCTGACACTTGTTGCTTTTTTAGTTTTGATTTATTTCACGGCGTTTCCACATTTCCTCATATACACGATCGTTACAGAAGCAGAGTTAATGTCTTTTTGTTTACACGTGTGCCGTCTGTGTTTCTTAAAGGTACAATGTGTAACTTTTATTGCTTTGCTTGGAAAAGGGGATGCACCGATTGGATACGGGTTTCCGAATACAAGTTCAGCCGGAATTCAGGTTGAAGAAAAAGACTGTTTACTAATTGTAATTGGACCAAAAAGTCTCATAATGTTTGGATTTTTATTTACATAAAGTTGGATCGATTTTGTCTTAGTTTTTCTCTTTTTTTAAGCGAATAAATGTTAATTTCAGTTCCTCCACTGGCACAGGTTGAAATGTGTAAAGGCAAATATTTAAAACTGGAGTATCGAAGTGTAAATTGGAATTGAAAAGGCCGAATCAATGCATCCCCATCTCGGAATGTTCCACAGTATGGCAGTAAACTCATCTATCTCCATGGAAACAAGCATGTGAGAGTGGGGAGAGGAGGAGAGAAAGGGAGAAGAGAGGAGAGTGAGGAGAAAGGAAGAGAGAGGAGGGAGAAAAGAGGAGAGGAGGAGGAGGAGGAGGAGAGAGAAGGATAGAAGGGAAGGGAGGAGAGAAAAGAGAGAGGAGAGGGGGAGGAGAGGATGGAGAGAAAAGGAAAGGGGGAGGAGAGAGGGAGGAGAGAAGGGGGGGAAGGGATAAGGGAGCAGAGGAGAGAAAAGAGGAGCGGGGAGGAGAGAAGGAAGAGAAGGGAGTGAGACAGCAGGAGAGAGGAGGAGAGAAGGGAGGAGAAAGGAGAAGAGGGGAGGAGAGGAGAGAGGAAGAAAGAGGAGAAGAGAGGAAGAAAGGAGGAGGAGAGAGGGAGAGGGGAGGAGAGAGGGAGAGGGGAGGAGAGACGGAGGAGAGAGGAGGAGAGGAGGAAGAGAGGAGGAGAGGAGGAGAGGAGAGAGGAGGAGAGAGGAGGAAAGAGGAGGGAGAAGAGGAGAGGAGAGAGGAGGGAGAAGGGAGGAGGAAAGAGGAGGAGAGAAGAGGAGAGAGGAGGAAAGAGGAGGGAGAGAGGGAGGAGGAAAGAGGAGGAGAGAAGAGGAGAGAGGAGGAAAGAGGAGGGAGAAGGGAGGAGAGAGGAGGAGGAGAGAGGGAGAGGGGAGGAGAGACGGAGGAGAGAGGAGGAAAGAGGAGGGAGAAGGGAGGAGAGAGGAGGAGGAAAGAGGAGAGAGGAGGAAAGAGGAGGGAGAAAGGAGGAGAGGAGCGAGGAGGAGAGAAGGGGGGAAGGGATAAGGGAGCAGAGGAGAGAGGAGGAGAGGAGAGAAAAGAGGGAGAAAAGAGGAGAGGGGAGGAGAGAAAAGAGGGAGAGAGGAGGAGAAAGGAGAAGAGGGGAGGAGAGGAGAAAGAAAGAAAGAGGAGAAAAGAGGAGGAGAGGGAGAGGGGAGGAGAGAGGGAGGAGAGAGGAGGAAAGAGGAGGAGAGAAGAGGAGAGAGAAGGAAAGAGGAGAGAGAGGAGGAGAGAAGAAGGAGGAGAGAGGAGGAGAGAGGAAGAGGAAAGAGGAGTAGAGAGGAAGAGAGAAGGAGGAGAGATGGAGGAGAGAGGAGGAGAGTGGGAGAATCGAGGAGAGAGGAGGGAGAAGGGAGGAGAGGATGGAGAGATAAGGAAAGGGGGAGGAGAGAAGGGGGGAGGGATATGGGAGCAGAGGAGAGAGGAGGAGAGGAGAGAAAAGAGGGAGAAAGGAGGAGAGGAGCGAGGAGGAGAGAAGGGAGACAAGGGAGTGTCATGGGAGGAGAGGGAGGAGAGAGAAGGAGGGGGATGAGGACGCTCACAGCGACTAGCATGCAAACAGCACATTTCCTGGGCGGAGCGGGGGAGGACGGGGGGGGGAGAGAGGAAGGAGGAGCCACAGAGGAGAGAGAAGATTTTGACTTTGAACATTTCCATCTAACTTTTATTCATTTTATTTAATCTATACTGTGGAACATTCTAGACCAAGCAATAACATTTCCATGGAGATAAGCAGGTCGGAATGAAGAAGAAATGTTACGCAGTGCAACTTTAAAGACCCAAAACTATAAACCAGGACTGAGGATGAGTTGAAGTTTGCGTTTGTGGGTGATGTGATGTGATGGCGGGACGAACGCCGGAGCGGAGCGATGTCGTCATGGCGATGTTTGATGTTTTACCTTGGACCACTTAAAGCCTTGGGTGGAGCTCTCAGAAAAGAGACAGAGCTGCACAAAAGAGGAGTGGAAAAAACGTGGAGGCGGCGGGCGAGGAGGGATGGAGAGAGTCAGAAGTCAAATCATAAAAGAAGGAGCGTCGGGAAAGTGAATAGAATGAAATAAAATGGGAGGAAGAGGAGAGAGAGCGAGTTAATGTTGCGACGGTGACAACAGACAAACTACAAACTAAGATGTTAAAAAAGGCAAAAATGACTGAACAGTTTATGAAATCAGTTTACAGAGAGTTGCAAAAATATATTAAAATATTTACAAAACTGTTTTCATTTTTCAGGACACGTCTCAAAACACTTTAATCAATTGGCAGTTTAAAGGAAAGAAAGAAATTGTTTTAGTCAAATGTCTTTCTCTCTTGGTTTATTAATATTAACATTAAATTCTAAAATGTCAGAGATGCCGAAAAAGAACAGGCACGTAGGTATTTTAAGATGTAATTTTATTTAAAAACAAAGACTTACAGGCACTCTTAAAGACAGTTTTTCTGGAGGAGAGTATTGCACCTTGTTACTATGTAAACAGATATGATTTTGCCTAGAATTATTCCGCAATATGGCATTAAACGTGTCTAATTAACATTTACTTAATTACAGGTGTTTTATTGCTGAAAAATGCCTTGGAAAAACAAGAATTGTAATTATGAACAGGGTCACCACTCCACAGACTGGACCTGGAACTTAAGTTTACACTGAAACGTATCACCATATCAGAAACGATCTGCGTCCAGACGTGACGTTTCTGTGTCCGTTCCCTAACCACACAGTAACGCAAAACCACCTGAAACATTGATCACATGACGAGGATGATGTCACGACGTCACGTGGGCGGTAAAAACAAGGAAGTGGAGCATCGTGTCTGAAGCTGCAGCAGCCGATTTCGAGCCGAGGAAGATGACAAGTGTGAAGTGGTTCTAGCTCCGCTGTTTCCCATTTGTCTCTGGTTTGTTTAAACCAGGGGTGGGCAAACTACGGCCCAGGGGCCATATGCGGCCCTTCAAACCTTTTAATCCGGCCCGCCGAACTTGAATAAATTACAATAATAAACCTTGTTGTTTTATTTTTCCTGCATTGTCGGTGTTTCCCAGTAGATGTGTGTATATACGGACTGCTTTATGGCTTTCAGATAGCTAATGACAGGAGTTATTTTCGGGCGGTGTATTCGGACCATGAGTGAGGTAGAAGTGTTCAAGACATAAGGCTGCACTGTTCTCATTTTGAGTCTGTTAAAAGCAAAGTCTAAAGATTTATAGATGCTGTGTTACAAATCTTAACACATGGAAAGTCTTAAGGGTCTGGTTTTACTGCATGTGTAAGTGTTTAGACCTCGTGGCATGGGCTCTGTTTCTCAATGAGATCTAAGTGCTCAGGACTCACGCTCGATTGTGGTCGTGCAGTGGAGCAGATCTCATTCATTTCTCATGTATTCTGAAAGTTACACGTCCAAAAGTTGCAGCGCGTACTGCAGGATACGTCCTACATGAGCGTAAATACAAATGCAATGGAGCCGGGCTCTTAACACGTCATGTCCTGTCTCCTGTCCGGCCCTTCAGTCAAGTTTTAGAATCTTATGTGGCCCCCGAGCCAAAAAGTTTACCCACCCCTGGTTTAAACTATTTTCAGCAATAGCGTCACATGACCCATGTCACGAACCCAGCGAATCAGGAAGGAGCAAGTCACAAGACATGGTCCAATAAGAACGCAGCTAGAGCTCCTACATCAGCGTTTTCAGGCGTCCACACAGTGCTGGATCAGATCTGTACTGCTGGAGGCACCAGATCTCGTCTCTGGAGCCGTTTTCCATCGGATTAGAGTGAACGAACACTGCATCCACAACAAAAATGACTCAAATCCATACTAGTGTGGACGGAGCCTTAGCCTGAAGGCATCACTTGCTCGTCTCTGTTGGGATAGACACTTTTAAGGTCATACTGTGGATCAGGTCAGTTTATTTATTTTATTTGTTTATTTATCGGGGCCAATGCGCATAAAAACATTGACCTACACATTTGCTTTGCTTTGTAATTTTGCTAATTTCCACCTTCAGTCGATTTCAGGTTAAGCCATTCCGATGGAGACAAAGATGTGGAGTATTATTTTCCAGAAAGCTGAATAATCTACCTTTAAAAATGTCTTAAAAGTAGAGTCACAGTTTATAGTTTAACCTTTGAGATCATAGTTAACATTTACAGATAGAACATGGGTTTGAAAAGTGAGGGAGAGGAGGAGGAGGAGAGAGACCAGGGTGCAGCGGGAGAAGGTGGACGGGTGCAAGGCGACATGAATCGAGAGCGAAGACAGCCCCTTTCAGTCTTTACTCGCCCTAATTTTATTTTTATTTTGAGCGCGCGATTTTCACAGCTGTATTTTAGCCTCGGGCGAAGAGAGAGGACGGAAAAGCAAACAGCGAGACGTGTTCTTTGATCGCGACACAGCGCTCCGGACGGGTCTGCGGCGGTTTTGTTTGAGAAAGAGGGGGCGGCGTCTCCATGTTTCTCTCATCACCGCCTTCACACCTCGGGCCTGTGGCTCGGCAAACTCTGACTCACGTCTCAGGTTCAGTTTGTTTTCATGTGGTCGACCCAAACTCACCGGACACCTCTGACCGGCAGACAGGAGGTGGAACAGAGACATTACATTTAACTCATCTACATAGACTCGATGTAACAGTCGCCCTCACATACCTGGAGTTAAAGGGCTCG